TAAGGGTGTCATGGTATGGGATTGCCACCCTTACTTCTGCACTGCTGCTGTGTGGGGGGGAGGTGCTGCCGCCTTCAGAGCTGGGTGCCCAGCCAACAGCCACTGCTCTCTGGCCACCCAGCACTAAAGGCAGTGCAGAAGTGAGGATGGCAATATCACAGAATCCCCCCCGCAACTCCCTTTTGGGTCAGGATCCCCAATTTGAGAAAAACTGGTCTCCCCTGTGAAATCTGTATAGTGTAGGTAGGGTAAAAGCACACACAAGACCAGATTTCACGGGGGGAGATCAGATTTCACAGTCCCTGATGCATTTTTCATGGCCGTGAATTTGGTAGGGCCCGACATATTGCCTAGCGTTGATTCTCTTTCAGGTTCATTATGCTGGCCTGTGATGGCCTCTTCAAGGTCTTCTCACCAGAAGAAGCTGTAAACTTCATCTTGTCCTGCCTGGAGGTGAGGAGAAGGCAGCTCTAGGGTGGACTTGCATGTGCAGTTTCATCAGTGCAGAAGGTGTGAAATACTAGCATGCTGGGAAGGGGAGAGCATAGAAGAGAAATACACTTTTAGGTGGAACCAGTGTGCTCTGGCAGCTTATTGAATGAGAGCTATTCTAAAATACTGTAGGATTGCCTCATTCTCAAATGATTGCTTATTGCCATTATTTGTCCTGTTTAATCCATCTCTGCTTCATGGGACCATCACCATTTTATTGTCTCCCAGCCCCAGTATGAAGGAGAGCTGCTCCTTAGCCAGTATGAGAGAGCTTTCCTTGCACATTTTTAAATTCCATGTATGAGCAGTCTGGGCTTTTTCCTAGAGCTGGAAGAAACAGAATCCTGAAGAACAGGACGCTCTTTTAATGTTGCCCACGTGAAGTTGCCGTTGGATTGTGCAGCATAAAACTGTAGTCCGCATGAATGCAGAGCACTGTGAAATGTTTACACTCAGCAGAACAGGTTTGTGTGAGTAGTATGGTCAACTTCCTCTTTCAACAGGACAAGAATATCCAAACAAGAGAAGGAAAATTAGCAGCTGACGCTCGATATGAAGCAGCCTGTAACCGGCTGGCCAACAAAGCAGTGCAGCGAGGTTCTGCAGATAATGTCACTGTAGTCGTGGTCCGGATCGAGCACTGAAGGAAAACATGCAGGGATGCAGTCCAGAGCTGCATGTGATGGATTTAAATGCAAGAACAAAGTGTGTAAGAGGGTGTGTGTGTGTGTGTGTGTGTGTGTGTGAGAGAGAATCGGGGAGGGGGGGAGGGGTATGGGTCTCCTCCCTGGATGCTCTTCTTTGTAAATAAACTTCTTTTTTCTAATTGTTTTAGTTCATATTTTTGTTTACCATATTTTATAAATGAATTTCTGTACATGACAGATTGCATTTCCTGCTACTACAGTTGGGGCTTCATGTGGAAATTCATGATTGTTTCAACTGCCTAATAACGAAAGTCTAAGCAAATCATCCAACCAAGTGGGTATTCACCCACGAAAGCTTATGCTCCAATACATCTGTTAGTCTATAAAGTGCCACAGGACTCTGTCACTTTTTACAGATCCAGACTAACACGGCTACCCCTCTGATACTAAGCAAATCATAACGCTTTACCGTAGGTATTGGAACTGTAGTTGCAAGAACGTGCCTTTTTATCATTGTAATTTTGAGCCAGTTAAACACAGCTGTGAGGGGAGGAGACTGCCAAATAGAAATGGACAAAATCTGTAGGGGAAAGAAGAATTGTCTTGAGGCTTTTAACAGTAATTGCAGCCAAAGGCAAGATCAAAACTAGCAGGGGCGGCAGGTTTGTAGAAATTTTGGTGGTGCCCAGAATGTCCAGAGCCCACCTCCCCAAAATTCTGCCCCCACCTGGCTAAGGCTCTGGGAGGGAGTTTGGGTGGGGGGAAAAGGTCGGGGTGCAGGCCCTAGGCTGGGGGAGGGGTGCAGGCTCTGTGATGGGGTGGGGGTGTAGGAGGGATGGAGTTTGGGTGCAGGCTGGGTGTGGGGGTTCAGGCTCTGGGAGGGCGTGGGGGGGTGCGGCGCTTACCTGGGGCTCCTAGGCAGGGTGGCCCCGGGGGGACTCCGCTTGGGGTGGGACACTGACCCATCCTGCCCAGGGGCTGCAGGGAGGGGCCGGCAGCCACATGGAGTGAGCAGAGAGGAAGCTGCTCAGCTCTGCTGTGCTGCTGGTGGTTGGAGGGGGCCCCGGGCCATTTTAAATCACCTGGGGGATGCGGGGCTGGGTGGGGGGGGGAGCACCTGGGGAAAGTCAGGGCTGAGGGAGAGACCTGGCCTCAAACATTGCTGGAGCTGGGCCCCGAGCCAGGAATATTCCTGGTTCCCAGGCACCATGGGTCTATAGAAATTGCCGCCCATGAAAACTGGATAAAAATCATGAAGTAGCTGCTGATGTTGAGAAACTCAGTTTGAAAACTGCAGTCTTATTCTCATGCTCTCCTTTTCACCCATTCCTCTATAAAATGGTGGTTCTGAGTAGCTGTTACTCTACCTGCAGAAGCAAGGATTAAATTGCATCAGTTTCCAATTACCCATTCACAAATGGCTAATCTACCACGCTGGAGCAGTGACTTCATTGAATTTGGTTTAGCTGAGAACGGTATCTCAGTGTTATTAAACATGGTTATGTAATATTAAGAAGAAGGTTGACGGATGCATCTGGTCTACAATTCTGAAATTCAGCCTTTGTGCAAAATGTTTGTCAAGCCCAATTCTGGTGCCTTGGAAGTCAAGGGAAGTTTTGCTCTTGATTTCAGGGGATGTAGGGTTGCCCCTTTTAAAATGTTAAACGTGAAATTGAGCAAAAACAGTGGAGGCGCTTCCTCAAAAGACACTTACTCTTTTAAAGAGGTGAAGAGAAATCCTGGGTGCTAGCAAATCTACTGTCAGAAACTAAAGAGCAGGTTTCGACTTGCCTCTGGTAATTGTGTAGTGACGTGAACAGGCAGAGGATGCAATTATTTAGGAGCTTGGAAATTAATGGGGGGGGGGCGGGGAAGGGGAAAGAAAGCCACAAATGAGAGGGGAAAAATAGCATTACTGGTAACAATTCTCAGAACAAAAACAGCCTGCTCCTACTCCTCCTTTTCCCATCCCCCACTTGTCTCAGCTTATCAAAATAAGGGGGGGTGGAGGCAAAGGCAGTTGGAAGATGCCTGTAATGTAATGCCAGCTGGGAGTGTGACTGGCATCCGATAGGAGTGGATGGAGCATCTCTAAGCAGGGAAGCTTCAGGCTATCTTTACTGCTTTCAAGATGTGCACTTAAGTGCTTAAATACCTTTGAGGATCTGGAGCTGGGTGCACTTTCTTTTATTCCTTTTCTCTTTGCTGCCTCTGCTTTTGTGTGTGTCGCAAGTGTGAGGAGAGAGTCCTTTGTTTCCTCTTCCCATTTTCTCTACCCACACTTCCCTTTTGTTTTCTTTGGCTATAGGTTCATTTTTCTGTCATTCCTCCCCGTCTCAAACCTCTCTGGTGAAACATTACTGAAAGCACAACTCAAGTCAGTTACATAAATATATTCCATATTACAGTACCATCCAATAAATATTTTTTCATAAAATGCTTTATACCATACATTTATCTATACTGCAGGGAGAGGAAAAACCTGGAATGTAGGAGTTTCACAATAGCTGTAGCTTGAAGACAAATTGCAATCTGCTTTTGGAGGACCAGGGCTAACCTTAGCTTTATTGTAGTCAAAGATGGGAGGCCTGCTGACGTTTCCAGCGTAGGGTGGCCTGGGTGAGCAACTTACTGAGAGAACACCCAAGACAGTTTAGCTGTCTTGTCTAGACTTTTTATTTAGCGTTTCAACACTTGCTTTAGTGTTTTGCTGTGAAGAATAGCAAACGATTATGAAGACATCCTGAACAGAAGTCCATTTTGGACATTCTGCTGCTGAGCAGTGTTACCCCTCGGGGGGACATGCTGAGTTGTCCTTCACTAAATAGCAGTAGGCTGGGTTTATTTTAAGGACACAAGCAGATTGGCTCTGCAAGCTGCACCATGTCCCCTACTCCCACAGACTTCCCAGGGGACTGCTCACCTTGCAGGATCAATGCCTAAGAGTGAACTCCTGCTGTCCTTTTTGGGTGCCTCTTCATTACAAGAATAGCTGTATTTTTCCCTTGTGTTAACTAATGTGGTAAAATCCTAATTAAGACAAGGCAGTTAACTTGTATGAAACAGTAAAGCCTGGCAGTGTCCTTCAGATCTTACTTTGACCTGCCATGGGGAACCCTGACGTTTGCCTTGGTCTGCTGATTTGTGTGAAAGCTACAACATGGTCTGTGTTCACTAGGATTTTACCACGTAGTAAGAACACAACTTCTTTTCCTAGCAAAGAGAAGGGCTTTCAGGCTTGAATTCTCCACAACTTCAGTGGGAGTTCAGCTAGAGTAAAGACTGCAGGAATTTGGTGTGTAAGTTGCTATATACCATAAAAAGCTGAAAGCACCAAATTTTTGAACTTGGGGCTTATGTCCTACTTTGTATGTTACCAAGGCTCCAAATTGAGACTTGTAGAGCTTTTCTAAGACAACAGTTAGGGTATAGCTACACTGCAATGAAAAACTCGCAGCACTGAGACTCAGAGCCCAGGTCATTTGATTTGGGCTGTGGGGCTAAAAATTGCAGCAAAGATGTTGAGGTTCAGGCTGGAGCCTGGGCTCAGCATGAACCTGAATGTCTATACTGCAATTTTGACCTGGGCCAGCTGCAGCCATGCTGCTGGTCTTTTATTGCAGTAGAGAGGTACTTACAGTTTTCTAACCAGCGAATTATATGAGCTGGTTTGTAGAGAGCGCTAGTATTTTATGTAAAGGACAGCATATGTAGCTTTTTCCTGAAAGATTTTGTGAAAGTTCTGCCAACAGCAAATGCCCTAGTCCAAATTAACTTTGTTTCCTGAAAGGAGAGTTTGCTGTGAAAGCAGTTCCTCTAGCAGGACTGGAAAAGCTTTGTTGGTGGGGGAAAAAAAAAAATTCAGAGAGAGTTGAGCCCCTTGTCCTGCTATCATGAAGGTGGAGCTGAGTGTAGTTCTAGGATATCTCATTGAAGTTCTGGCAGGAGCTCAGGAATTAAGTACATGGTACTAAGAAATGAGACTGCATCTTTTTCTTTCCCTGCCTTTGTTATTAATTTAGGGCCCATTCCTGCAGCCCTTATTTATGCACGTAGTCCCATTGGGTTAATCGGAGTTAGACTGCGCTATCGGGACTAAAACCAGGCGTAACGGTGAGTATCTCCACCACCCATTGACTGGGCTCTCTGCCATGGGCAGAGAATGGGGTGGTGATGTGAGTACACAGTGCCTAGGAAGTGGAAAATCATTGGATAGTAATTCACGTTCTAACTAGTCTGCTGCCTTATCAGGACACTGCTCTGCATTGAAAATTAACTTCCAAGTACCAGTGCCTGCTGATAGCAAACCTTAACTGATGAGCTATAAGAAAGCTAGAGCTATATACATAATCTGGCTTTGGCTGCTGAAAAACTGAACAGCAAAAAATTGCCAAAGTGCTAGTCTATGGGTGAAGGCTTCTTCAAATCACCTTTTCCTAAGCATTCGTGCTTGATTGGGGGGAGGGGTTCCTTTATAAAACTTGGTCTGGTTTTAGAAGTCAGCCATATTATAATTGTCCATGTAAAATACGCTTCAAAATCTGGCCATAAATGAAATTAAAGGGGGATGGATTTAGTGAGTCCTCCTTTTTTCATGCTTCCAATTTTCTTTCCGGCTCTCCATCATCTTTGGATGCTTGAGATCTTGTGCAAAGTATGGTGGCTGGTGGCTGGGTTTTGCAGCATAAGCAGAATCTGTAGAGACTGCTGCTCCTGACCTCACTATGCTTTGCTCCCTGTGCGTGGGTGGGAACGAATTAAGGTGGTTCTTGCTGAAGAGACCAATTCAGCTTACAGCGTGTAAGGGCAGGTGGTTTGAGACCATTCACACCCCCAGAAGAACAGCGCTGAAATCCGAGCCACTTCGAACAGTGAGGGATGATCCAGTGGCATTATCTACAAAAACCGAGGCATACTGGCCAGCCTGAAAGGGAGAAATGAGAGTGACAGTGAAAATAGTCCCAGGTTGCCACAATCAGCACATAGAGGAGTGTGTCATGTAAATGCAGCAGATCTATAGTTTAGCAAAGCAGCAAAAGTAAGTTTCTACATTTCGGTGGGGCTACTCATCTGTTTGACAGCAGGCTTCAGTGCATTGCTCAAGTGGGGCTAGAGAGTGTACAAAATACACAGGATATGCAAAACAGCAGAGTCCTCATTATAACCTTAACTTTGGCATTTCCCACTTAGTAACATCCTGGTGGATAATTCGGAACCATCCTACTTTGGAGATTGGTTGAGCCCTGACCCAAACTAGCATGTGCTATTGGCTTGTAGCAGCCTGTACTGGCTGCAGCACTGTGCAGAACAGCTTAGCATTCCACATGGCAGCCCCGCCCACTCAGCCATGGCATTCTCTAGGGCAGGGCCTACCTAGTTATGTAGGTTGTGATGCACTACTTAAAGTTGAGTCACGTTTTACACTTAAAGCAGAACATGGGGCAGTTTCTGTCCCTTGTTCCAGCCCTTCTGGCTATGGTCATGCTGCACCACTAACTCCAGGGTGGTGGGACCCAGACTGGTGGACACAGTGTTTCCAAGCTCATGCTTGAGTGTTCCCACACCACTGTAAACCTGGGTTTACAAGTGCTGGACTCATAGCTATGCTAACAGTCATACTGCAAATGCAGACCTTCTGACTTGGGTCTGGGGCATGACCTGTATCCATAGTGCAAAATTACAGGGCTTAGACCTGAGACACAGTGGGACTTGGGCTGATCCACTCTCTAGCAAGGTCATAGAACCTGGGTCAGATTGTGTGTGGGCTTGGGCTCAAGCCTGAGTCAGAGCCTGGACTTAGTGTGCAGTGTTTATACCCTATATAGCATGCTAGCCGCATCGAGGGCGCTGTAAAAAGCCTGGAAGGGGAGGAAGAATTCCCCCACCACAGACAAAGTAGGCCCTGCCATGGCTGAGTGGAATGCTAAGCTCGTTCTGCACAGTGCTGCAGCCAGTACAGGCTGCTACAAGCCAACAGCACATGCTAGTTTGGGTCAGGGCTCAACCAATCTCCAAAGTAGGATGGTTCCGAATTATCCACCAGGATGTTACTAAGTGGGAAATGCCAAAGTTAAGGTTATAATGAGGACTCTGCTGTTTTGCATATCCTGTGTATTTTGTACACTCTCTAGCCCCACTTGAGCAATGCACTGAAGCCTGCTGTCAAACAGATGAGTAGCCCCACCGAAATGTAGAAACTTACTTTTGCTGCTTTGCTAAACTATCCGTTCTCCTTTTCAAAACCAAACCCTTTGGGCTGAGACCAAACATCTGAATGTGACTGATCTGTATCCCTCTCTATTGGGAAACACTAAAACAGTGCAGTGCAAAAGCTCTACCCTTTAGTAATGGGTGTCTGCCAATGGTGGGCGTTGGTCTATCAGTGCTATGGTGCATTATCCCTTAAGGTGCCTTAGGCAGCTGGCTTCCCCATTGTCCTGCACCTCATGCAGGCATTTACCCAATCAAAATAGTAGCATTTTACATGCACTTTATAGAGGTGGTAATGACTACACAAGCTGCCAGGCAGGGGGGAATCAGGACTACGGTATTTAGTACCAGAGTAGTTGGCTGGTTCTATGGCTATAAGCCACTGACTGTAGGCAAGGTCACCCTAAAGACTAAACCCTGCAGTACTGTGGCAGATCACTGGAGGGACTCGGGTCTACATCCTCAAAGATCTTTAGGTGCTTAATCCTGTTTAAATCAGATACCTTTGACATTCTGGGTCTCAGCCCCCAGAGAGATGGAAGGCTGATCATGCCAGTATTATTGAGGCTGGTTTTAAAAAATGATGCAGAGTCAGCCTGAGGAATGAACTTCCTACCCAGCTGCAGAGGAAAGCCAGCACAGAAGCACGTGCCTGTCATCTTCACTGGTTGGTTCCAGTAGCACCCACAATGCAGGGCGCTTTCTGTAGAAAAGGACACGGCTTCCTGCATTGAAGAGCTTGTAAACCACAGTGACTTCCTGCTGCACTTGGGAATGGATGTGCTCAATTAGGGTATGTCTGCAACGCAATCAGAGGTGTGATTACAGATGGGGTAGGTATACTCCTGTTTGCTTTGAGCTAGCTAGCATGCTGAAAATAGCATGGACTTCAGTGTGGGCTGTACAAAGCTGCCTAGCCCCCCTGTGGGTAGAGTTATTGTTGTGAAAAGTTAGCTGCCCAGTTGTGCTGCATGCTCATGTCAATAGCACACTGCACGAGGTGGGTCTGCCCATAAGGAACACCCCTTGGCCTCATTAGTTTGCCCATGTTTACCTGTAAGTACAGGACTCCACTGACTGAGATGGTGAAAAGTTCACTGCTGTCCAAACCAGCCACCGTCTCCAGAGAACTGAAGACAAGAAACAGCAATGTCAGCACTGAAGTGATCCATGTACAACCCAGAATTCACCTACTAGCCAGTTATCTACAGTAATAGAGAGTGATTGCCTCCCCCATCCCCAGGTCCAGACATTAAAGAGAAGGGGAGGACTGCACAATGCCCTGGCAAACTTGTCTCCTCTCTGCAAAGCTGCTCATTACCCTCTGTATCATTATTTACATTTAATTCTAAATTTTGTTTAAAAAAACCAAACCAAGTATAGTCCTCAAGAATGGTCCCAGGGGTGGCCTGGCGCTTGACTGCCTCTTGCCATGGAGTAGGTGCAGCATGGTCAGAGGCTCAGTAGGCCTTCTCATGCCCCCATGCTGATGTATTTATCTCAGCTATGTTCTGGAGGGTTCATCCCATCCATCAATTTATTATGCAAACAAAGGCTAGGGATAGAGTGCTTTTCCCCACTAGGACTGGCTCACAGAGGGTCATAGAGTTTATGGCTGTAAGGGACCAGCAGATCACCCCCTCTGACCTGTATATTACTGGTCCCCTACACCCCCGATCATCCACACACTCAACCCAACAACAGACATTAGAAAAAAGTATTACAGCCCACAGGAGACTCAAGATGTGCCACAGGAATGGACTAGGAGGGCCCAAGGTGCATCAGTGCTCGCGGCCCCTGCAATGGCAGGGAAATGATTATGAGATAGCTCCAGATAATCCTGGATAGTGACCTGCCACATGCTGCAGAGGAAGGTGAAAAAGCCCCAACTCACTGCTAATCTGACCTGGGGGGAAATTCCTTCTTGACCCCATGTATGGCCATCTAGCCTACCCTGGTTGTGACTGGAAGCCCTTACAATCTGATGGCAATGGGATCACTCATATGAAATGAGTCATATGAGTTGGGATGATTTAGTGGGGTTGGTCCTAAATGCTAAAATTTCAAAATGTCCTGTGGAATGAAAATTTCAAAAAAAATTTCCATTCAAAACTATTAAAACATTTCATTTTGAGAATGTCAATTCACTTTGCTTTGATGTTTATATGATATTAAAATATTAAATGTATGTAAATAAACATTTGATATACTATAAAAATCAAAACAAAATGAATCAGTCATAATGAACACCATTTTGACACTCTCAAAATGAAACGAGAAAATTGAAGTCATTTCAACTTTTTCGCTTCAAGCATGTCATCGAAATTGACACATTCCAGTGAAACATTTGGATTTTGATGAAACTGCACTTTTTTGGTGGAAAACTGTTCCACTGACATTTTTTTGACAAGTGGTAGCTGTGATGATACTTGTAGATCCAGTTACAGGCACCAGTCCAGTGCAGTGCTCAATGCAGTTCAGGACTGGGGCACATAAAGGACATACAAAGGTGACATTATGTCACCTGATCTGGGGGCCAAGCCAGTTGCTAGTCTATGTTAGATCAGCCTTAAGGCTGCTCTAGTTTAAACCCAGCTATCAATGGCCCCCAGAAGCTATTCAGGCAGCTAGGAATCACCAGGGTGCAGGGATACCCCAGACAGGATCTCTCTCCCAGCCAGATCCCCTACTCTGAGAGATGAGAAAGGGGATGGTGTGGAAGCAGCTACAGAGGTTCTAGGCCACCCTGGGATTTCCCCTACATAGGAAATCCTCCACCAGCTCCCAACAGCCATAGTGGTGCCATGATCTGTGTGCCCTATGCACTGTGGGCCCCTCCTTTTTGTGAACTCACCTTCTGGGCTAATAGAGAGAAAAACAGTTTTTACATTTAAAAGAAGTCTGGCTGTGCTAGCAGGGAGGGCATGCCTCTACCAGGCACACTCACATGTTATGTTGACACAGAGACTGGACGCAGATCAGTACCCGCAGGCGATCTCTCGCACGCTGTTGTCCTTTCTTCTGTTGTTCTCCATGAACTATAAACACAGAAGAGCTAATGAGACAGGGATGAGATGTTCTCCCCTTCTGAACAGAACCCCCTGTAAAGGCCTTAGGCCTCAGCCCCCCAGGGAAGCCAGACATGCCCACACAGCTGGCCAGCCTGAATGCTCTGATTGAATAGCTGGGTCTGGGCCTCAGCTGGTGTAAATTAGTGTAGCCAAATGATCGTCAGTGGAACTACATCAAGTCATACCCACAGTATGTTGACTCCAGTGGAACTATGCTGATTTACACCAGCAGAGGATCTGGCACAGTAACTTCAATGGAGCTACACTTATTTATGCCACTAAGGTTTCTGTCCCAAAGAGTCCTGGAGGATGACTATGGAGGAGTATAAAAATATTGCTCGAGTATGCAGGGGTGTAATCAGGAAGGCCAAAGCACGATTGGAGTTGCAGCAAGGGATGTGAAGAATAACAAGAAGGGTTTCTATAGGTATGTTAGCAACAAGAAGAAGGTCAGGGAAAGTGTGGGACCCTTATTGAATGGGGGAGGCAACCTAGTGACAGATGATGTGGAAAAAGCTGAAGTACTCAATGCTTTTTTTGCCTCAGTCTTCATAGACAAGGTCAGCTCCCAGACTGCTGCACTGGGCAGCACAGTATGGGGAGGAGGTGAGCAGAGCTCAGTGGTGAAAGAACAGGTTAAGGACTATTTAGAAAAGCTGGACATACACTAGTCCATGGGGCTGGATGCACTGCATCCAAGGGTGCTGAGGGAGTTGGCTGATGTGATTGCAGAGCCATTAGCCATTATCTTTGAAAACTCATGGCAATCAGGCGAGGTCCTGGACGATTGGAAAAAGGCAAATATAGTGCCTATCTCTAAAAAAGGGAAGAAGGAGAATCCAGGGAACTATAGACCAGTCAGGCTCACCTCAGTCCCTGGAAAAATCATGGAGCAGGTCCTCAAGGAAACCATTTTGAAGCACTTGAAGGAGAGGAAGGTGATCAGGAATAGTAAACATGGATTCACCAAGGGCAAGTCATGCCTGACCAATGCCTGATTGCCTTCTATGATGAGACAACTGGCTCTGTGGGTATGGGGAAAGCAATAGACGTGATACACCTTGACTTTAGCAAAGCTTTTGATATGGTCTCCCACAGTATTCTTGCCAGCAAGTTAAAGTAGTATGGATTGGATGAATGGACTATAAGGTGGATAGAAAGCTGGCTAGATCGTCGGGCTTAATGGGTAGTGATCAACGGCTCGATGTCTAGCTGGCAGCCAGTACCAAGCGGAGTGCCCCAGGAGTCAGTCCTGGGGCCAGTAGTGTTCAACATCTTCATTAATGATCTGGATGATGAGATGGATTTGCACCCTCAGCAAGTTCACAGATGACACTAAGCTGGGGGAGAGGTAGATACACTGGAGGGTAGGGATAGGGTCCAGAGTGATCTAGACAAATTGGAGGATTGGGCCAAAAGAAATCTGATGAGGTTCAATAAGGGCAAGTGCAGAGTCCTGCACTTAGGACAGAAGAATCCCAGGCTGGGGACCGACTGGATAAGTGGCAGTTCTGCAGAAAAGGACCTGGGGATTACAGTGGATGAGAAGCTGGATATGAGTCAACAGTGTGCCCTTGTTGCCAAGAAGGCTAACGACATATTGGGCTGCATTAGTAGGAGTGCTGCCAGCAGATCAAGAGAAGTGATTATTCCCCTCTATTGGGCACTGGTGAGGCCACATCTGGAGTATTGTGTCCAGTTTTAGGCCCCCCACTACAGAAAGGATTTTGACAAATTGGAGAGAGTCCAGTGGAGGGCAACGAAAATGGGGCACATGACTTATGAGGAGAGGCTGAGGGAACTGGGCTTATTTAGCCTTCAGAAGAGAAGAGTGAGGGGGGATTTGATAGCAGCCTTCAACTACCTGAAGGAGGGTGGTGAAGCACTGCAATGGGTTATCTAGGGAAGTGGTGGAATCTCCATCCTTAGAGGTTTTTAATGCCCGGCTTGGCAAAACCCTGGTTGGAATGATTTAGTTGGGGTTGGTCCCGCTTTGAGCAGGGGGTTGGACTAGATGACCTCCTGAGGTCTCTTCCAACCCTAATCTTCTATGATTCTATGATTCAACAGCATCACCATGCTGTGGAGGCAGGGCCGGCTCTAGGCACCAGCAAAGCAAGCAGGTGCTTGGGGCGGCAAATTTGCAGGGGCGCAAGAATCCAGCATGAGAGCTGAGAACCAACAGGGAGCCCTGGGAGCTGTAGTTCCTTGGTTAGCTCCCTGCCTATAGAGCCAGCCCTGGAGCAGGGAAAGAACTACATTTCCCAGCATGCCCTCGGCCGCAATTAACAGGAAAGGGAGGGGAAAGGAGTGTAGAACTGAAACCTCATGCTGCAGCTTGCTGTAAATGGTAGGGACAGAGCCAGCTCTAGGTTTTTTGCCGCCCCCCACCTCAGCCCTGGGCTCCCCCTGCACCGCTGTGTTGCCCCAGCCCTGGACTCTCCCCTGCCCACACCCCCTGCTGCCCCAGCTCTGGCCCCCACCTGCACCCCCCTGCTGCCCCAGCCCTGGGCTCTCCCCCCACCCGCATCTCCTGCCACCCTAGCCCTGGACTCTTCTCCCTGCACCCGCACTCCCTGCTGCCCCAGCTCTGGCCCCCACCTGCACCTCCTGCCGCCCCAGCCCTGGGCTCTCCCCCAAAGAAAGAATTGGGTGGACTAAATGGACATTGCACCTCTCTATCTGAAGCCTAGCAAGGCAGGTACGTGGATCCCACTAGAATGTAAAATGAAAAGTAAGGGAGGGGAGGCTCTACTAGACTGGGCAGCTTTAGATACAGTACCAGGCACGTAGGAGGATTTACACTTCTGAGCCATGGAAGCAGAAATTGACTTTTCCAGATTTAGCTAATATTCAGAAAGGGAATCCAGCACCTGCCTTCCAGATTTGAACACCATCAAAATTCAGGAGTGCTCAAGCTCAATTTGGGCAGTTGTTACTTCATTTCTCCCAAATCAAATATACTGATCCCCTGTAACTTGCTGTAGGAAAAAGTAGAATAAATTGAGCAAGAAATGCTTCCCAGTGGTTATTAGGACTGGAATTGCTATTTTCAAAGGCCATTGCTTTATTATTATTATTATTATTATTATTATTTTTAAGTTTTAGTTTTATTTGTTTAAAAGGAAGACAGTGATATTGCATTGGCAAATTCCCCATAGAAACAAAGAATGGAACAAAAGAATAATAAAGGCACCTCAACTTTTCCTCATTTATGTAGGACAGTCTTATAATATGCATCCAGATAGCCTTCAATCACACAAGCTGAAAATTGTTCCACTTTACTGCAGTTCTGTAACCATATGGGAACCAATCCTGTCTGTGTTCTGTGCACATCCAAAATTCCTGCTGAATGACCCGCCCTGGGAGCGAGTTACCAGTGACCCAGGGCTGGGGCGGCAGGAGGGTGCAGTGAGGGGGCAACCAACATTTTTTTTGGTTGGGGCAGCAAAAAACCTAGAGCCGGCCCTGTGTGGAGGCCAGCTCCGTGTGCCAGGCAGCAGGAAAGCTTACCGATGTGCAAGGTGGCGGTGAAGGTGTAATATCCTGCAACAGGTGCTGTGTATTGGCCGCTGGTCAGGTTCAGCCCCAGGCCTCGATGGAACACCCCCTCTTTCTGAGGCTAGTAACAAAGAGAAAGGCAAGACTGCACACACTGCGAAAGACCATCCCAACTCTACATATTGCATTAGGAGATGGGCGCTCAGCTAGCAGCATCCCCTTAGGAAACAGACATGCACTGTGTCTGCAGTGCAAGCAGAGGGTGATCGCAGCACGCAGAGTATAACTGTATCTACACTAGGCCTCTTACTGCCATAGTTATTAAGTACAGACTAGGCCTAACAACGTATTTGAAAATTTGTCTTGTTCTCTAGTTGTTCACAGATTATCTGACGTCTGACCATGATTGTTTTCAAATGTGTTTGTTACTCAGAATTATTCATCAAATAATACCTGCAAGCAAATTTTGATAAGTAGATTAAAAAGGGAGGATGGCTGGTGAAGGACTTTGGAAAGCTCAGAGTTAGGGTTGCCAGGTGTCCAGTTTTTGACCGGAAAGTCTGGATGAAAGGGGACCTGTACAGTGTCCAGTCACATGTACTGACGACACCAAAAGTCCAGTTACCACAGGTGGGGGGGGGGCCAAGGGAGTAGGCACTGGGTCATCAACCCCTGCCAGCCCCTGCTCAGCTGGGGCCGTCTCCTACCTGCATCTCGTGGGCGGGCAGGCTCCCATCCTAGCCCCGGAGTAGAGAGCGCCCAGTTGTGTGTGGGGGAGAGGGGGCGGGGACGGGATCAAGGAAGGGGAAGGGAGGAGAGTTGCGAGTGATGGGGGCGGGGGCCTCGGGGAAGAGGCGGAGCAGGGGCGGGGCCTCGGGGGACGAGGTGGAGCGGGGAGGTTCCGGCTTTACTTCTGTAGTGTCCGGTTTTCGGAAATTAGAAAATTGGCAACCCTACTCAGAGTCCAATTCCTAGCTCTGCCACAGACGTCTTATGTGGCCGTGGGCAAGCTGCATAATCTCTCTTTGTCTCTTTTCCTCATCTGGAAAATAGGGATAATAGTACTCCTTTAGTCTTGTCTGTATAGGTTGTAAATTCTTCAGGGCAGGGAATTCTGGGTTGTAGTGACACTATGAGGAGAAATCGTGGAAAAAAAACGCATGATTCTTAACTGTATGTGTAGTATATGGCATCATTATAGAGCAGAGTTTTTAAGGTTGTTCTGGGTGTCTTAACTGCATTTACAGGTCTTAATATAAAGTAGAACATCAGAGTTATGAACATCAGAATTACAAATTGACCGGTCAACCACACTGCTCATTTGGAACCAGACGTACACAATCAGGCAGCAGGAGAGACCAAAATAAAAGCAAATACAGTACAGGACTGTGTTAAATGTAAACTACTTTAAAAAAAAGGGAAAGATCTAACAAGATTAAAAATATGATTTGACAAGGTAAGGAAACTGTTTCTGTGCTTGTTTCATTAAATTAAGATGGTTAAAAGCAGCATTTTTCTTCTGCATAGTAAAGTTTCAAAGCTGTATTAAGTCAATGTTCAGTTGTAAACTTTTGAAAGAACTGTAATGTTTTATTCAGAGTTATGAACAACCTCCATTCCCGAGGTGTTCATAACTCTGAGGTTCTACTGTATCTAGATTCCATGTATGTTTAACCTTAACTCTGAATTTCCTGGTCTGTAATGCTTATTTTGGGGCTAAAAATAACATCCCTGTAATATTTTCGTATCCTAAGTTACTGATGTGTACTCAGCCTTATCTCCATTGATACATAAAAGTTTGTCTAGGGATTTTAATTGGCCTGCAATTGGCTAGGAGGCTCAAAGGCAGTAACTCCCCTTCCCCCACCCCTGGCACACACACCTATAGTATGGCACAAATGGCAAGGTGCATTTGGGAGGTCAGGACCTGAACCAATGCTCATTGAAGTCAATGGGAATCTCCCCAGAGACTCCTGTGGGGGTTGGATTGAAGTTATATTCACCATCCTCGGAGAGATCAGATGCTGGGAATATAACTGTGAGAATAATGGATTTTTTTTTAATTCACTGGCAATTCTGAAAAATTGGGGGAAAAAAGATGCAATTTCAGGCTGAACCAAAAATGAAATGTTTCAGCAAATCAAAAAGTAGAAAAAAAATTGTTTCAGGTCAAACAAAATATTTCATTTAGGCAAAATTGAAATGTTTCATTTTGATTCCAGCCATTTAAAAACATTTTTTATTGGGTTTTTAAAATAAAATTAAAGAAAATTTTGAAACAAAAAGGTGTTTTGAGCCAACAATTTGAAACGTTTCATTTAGAAAAATGTCAAATTTTGGACTGTTTGTTTTTTGACCAAAACAATTTGGCGAAATCAACACAAATTCGGGAAACGTGTCAGTGTTGCTGAATCTGCATTTTTGCCAGTCCAGCATGGCAAACTCCCTCCCCCACTCACTATGTAATAGATCCGAAGTTCTTGCAGGGATCTCCGTTCAATGGAAATGTTTCTCCGTATTCGGCAGTGGAAGGCTGCCTCCACTCGATGCTGTGGCTTACTCTTTGCCAACGGACCAGCAACAAGTGCCAAGATGTCATCTTCTCCTCTCTCCTCCTCTTCCTCACCTTCCTGGCAACCTTCACAGGCCTTCAGGTTCATCCTCTCCCGCTCTTTTACCACCTCTGAGAGAACGCCCCCCAGAGAACCAGTTTTAGGAGTCACCGATGTACAAAGGGTTTTCACAAATGACTGCTCCCATTGGAGCCAATGGTAAAATGCCCCTTGATGTCAATGGAAGCAGGATGGACACTGGTGTGAATTCTAGTCAAAGCCCAGCAAGCTGGCACCATCATGTGAGACTGAATCCCAGTCATCCCTGCTTCATGTGCTTGATCCAGGCAAATGTTCCGTCCTGGTCATTTTAGGCAGCAGTGAGGTTTGTTGGAGAATGCTCCCATTGGTTTTCATTGCAGTCATGAAGCCAGGAAAGGGATATTAGTTCTCTGGGGTTCCCAATTATTGTTGCTGAATTTGATTCTTAAGTGTTGAGCCAAAAAGCTAATGGGAAATCCTCTGAGGTGTTGGAGATAAACAGGGAATGAGTTTGTGACACACACAAATCTCACTACACAAGTACACACCTACCACTGCAGTCAGAAGTAGGCTGTAGCCCACGAAAGCTTACGCTCAAATAAATTAATTAGTCTCTAAGGTGCCACAAGTACACCTGTTCTTTTTGCAGATACAGACTAACACGGCTGCTACTCTGAAACATCTCCAAAGACTGCAACGGAGGTTGGATTGGGGCTAAAGTCACTTCCCTAACACCCCGCCCACACAAACACAGACAAATAAGTACCTCATCACCAAGATGTGTGTTAGCAATTATTATTTGTGATATTAGACAAAGTGCACATTTGAGGTTGTAGTTAGTCATGTCCTGATGTGTGAGTGTAAAACTCTGTTCTGGAAAATTATGTCGAAATAACCGATACACTGAAAGTGTAAAGCTGCTCCTGGGGCTGGAGTTTGTCTGGCTGAGCACCCATGTAAGAGGGAGTAAGATACCACCCCAGACATACACCCCTTTCTGCCCTGCTTCAGTTACCTGGCTCTTGTGTCTGGGCAGGCAGGCTAAGCAGCACTGCATGCCAACTTACTGCCCCTGCACCCACCAAGGGGTCGACTCCCCATATGCACTAGACAGCAACCACTAAGGGCTTGTCTACACTGGCACTTTGCAGTGCTGCAACTTTCTCGCTCAGGGGTGTGAAAAGCCAGGCTGCCAGTGTAGATAGTGCACGAGTGTCGGGAGTTGCACTCCCAGCTCTGGTAGCTACGCCACTCGTGGAGGTGGGGTTTTTTTAGAGCGCTGGAAGACCTCTCTCCCAGCACTCTGCCGTGACTACACAAGCCATATTAAAGCACTGCCACAGCAGCGCTTTAGCATTGCAGTGTAGACTAGCCCTTACTCTCCTTAACCTCAACCCTGAGGGAGGGAGATCAGGTTCATAAGGTGACCTTGCCCCCCCAGTAGGACATGAGCTCTTGTCTCTTCAGTGTCACACTCCCTGCAGCATGGGGCACCCACCTCCCCAGCCCAGCTGGAGTGCCTGTGGAGACGCACTCAGCCCACTCCATGCACTGGCTTTCATACTGTACCTTTCAGCAGCAGCCGGAAGTCCTTCAGCAATTCTTCTGGTGTCACCAGGGCTCCTTGAGGGCCGGGGGGACCTGGTGGGCCTGGCAGGCCAAACTGGAACCCCAGACAGAGCACAGAGCTACTCAGTTCAAATTAGGGCACAGCCAGCCAGTGTAGATCCAATAAGAATGACTCCATCCCGCAATGCCAGCCTCTAGTCACCCACATCCTGGCACCCTTCCCCTTCCCATTGCCCGAAAGGGCACCTGCCTGTTCTGAACTCTGTGCTGGAATCTAAGCAGGATTGGCCATCTCTGCTGGGTTGGTCACTGTTTTCAGCCCCACCCCCTCTGTCTGTTCTGGGCTCAGAAGGAGCAGGGCTGTTACACTAGGGATGCCATGGGCCCTCTGGGTTGGGGGCACAGTAGGCTTGGGCCAGGACTCTCCATGTGGGGTGGGGTGCAATGCGCCCAAGCTGAGGAGCTCTGTGATGGGAGGGGCACAGTGGGCCAGTGCCAGGGATGTCAGTGTAGGGTGGGCACAGCAGGCACAGTTCGGATCTCTGCATGGGGTGGCGGTGCAACAGGCCTGGGATCGCTGTGTGGGATGGGGTGCAACAAGTCTGAGCCGGGGCTCCCTGGGGTGGGTTGTACAGACACACCGGGGATGTGAATACATACCTTGAATTTTTTTGATTTGCCTTTGTCCCGTTTCTTGCTGTTCACCCCTTTGTTTGATTGTTTCATAAAGAGCATCCAGGCATCCCGGGGGTCGATGCTGCGAGACTGCTCAGGAAGGGGTTCCTGTAGGACGATCAAAGAATAAGAACACAGAAAGTGACAGTAATCAGCTCTGCGGGCTGCTGGGTGGTTCAGACATAGGTGGGTGCCATTCTTCATCGCTACTCCCATTACACAGTAGGGGCAGGAACTCAGCAGCCAGAAACCAGCCTGTGCTTTGCCGGAGTGTTAATGAGTTCCTTATCGCTGTGACTGCCTTAGCTGTTGGCCAGGGAGCTGTGCCCGTCTCACAGCGTGCAGGACATGGGGAACCTGGCTACCTGGGGGACCTCTGAAAAACTCTGGACTCAAAGAAACTCTGTAGAGGGCATGCTTCTCTCTGGGTGGGCGCTAACCCAGTGCCAGCAGCAGCAGTGTTTCTGGGGCGCATATTTTGGAGGGGATGTAAACGGAGGTCATTAAACAGCCCACAGCGCTTTTTGCAACCATGAATGTTAGCCCAGCTTGGGGGTGGGTTATAGGCATATGGGCCGGTGGTGCTGGTGTGCTAGTGCATTGCACGGGGCGGGGGGGAGGTATGGTGCATTAGTTGAGAGGTTTGGTGAGTTACAGCTAACACAGGTCCACTTAAAACTTCACAAGAGCACAAATCAGCATCTTGGTGAAGTGCTAAGTCTTTACCGCAATTTCAGTTCGTCAGCTGCTGCCCTAGACTATTGCTGTATCTGTGACACAACTCCTGTTTCACCTAGCAAGTGTCATCACACCGAACTCACTGATACCATGCTCTGGCTTCCCTGTTGGATCATCTGGTACTGACAGTCCGTAATGTAACCACATATGTTCATTGACTGATGCTGAAATCAATATCAAAATATTGATCCAAGAAGTAAATACTAATCAAGGTGTAGTTGATGCTAAAGCTGGACGAGCACAAGTCCATGGGGCCGGATGCGCTGCATCCGAGGGTGCTAAAGGAGTTGGTGGATGTGATTGCAGAGCCATTGGCCATTATCTTTGAAAACTCATGGCGATCGGGGGAGGTCCCGGATGACTGGAAAAAGGCTAATGTAGTACCCATCTTTAAAAAAGGGGAGAAGGAGGATCCGGGGAACTACAGGCCAGTCAGCCTCACCTCAGTCCCTGGAAAAATCATGGAGCAGGTCCTCAAGGAATCAATTCTGAAGCACTTAGAGGAGAGGAAAGTGATCAGGAACAGTCAGCATGGATTCACCAAGGGCAAGTCATGCCTGACTAACCTAATTGCCTTTTATGATGAAATAACTGGCTCTGTGGATGAGGGGAAAGCAGTGGATGTGTTATTCCTTGACTTTAGCAAAGCTTTTGATATGGTCTCCCACAGTATTCTTGCCAGCAAGTTAAAGAAGTATGGGCTGGATGAATGGACTATAAGGTGGATAGAAAGCTGGCTAGATCATCGGGCTCAACGGGTAGTGATCAATGGCTCCATGTCTAGTTGGCAGCCGATATCAAGCGGAGTGCCCAAAGGGTTGGTCCTGGGGCTGGTTTTGTTCAATATCTTCATTAATGATCTGGAGGATGGCGTGGATTGCACCCTCAGCAAGTTTGCAGATGACACTAAACTGGGAGGAGTGGTAGATATGCTGGAGGGTAGGGATAGGATACAGAGGGACCTAGACAAATTAGAGGACTGGGCCAAAAGAAATCTGATGAGGTTCAACAAGGACAAGTGCAGAGTCCTGTACTTAGGATGGAAGAATCCCATGCACTGCTACAGACTAGGGACCAAATGGCTAGGCAGCAGTTCTGCAGAAAAGGACCTAGGGGTTACAGTGGACGAGAAGCTGGATATGAGTCAACAGTGTGCCCTTGTTGCCAAGAAGGCTAACAGCATTTTGGGCTGTATAAGTAGGGGCATTGCCAGCAGATTGAGGGACATGATCATTCCCCTCTATTCTGCATTGGTGATGCCTCATCTGGAGTACTGTGTCCAGTTTTGGGCCCCACATTACAAGAAGGATGTGGAAAAATTGGAAAGAGTCCAGCGAAGGGCAACAAAAATTATTAGGGGGCTGGAGCACATGACTTACGAGGAGAGGCTGAGGGAACTGGGTTTGTTTAGTCTGCAGAAGAGAAGAATGAGGGGGGATTTGATAGCTGCTTTCAACTACACCGCTACCTCGATATAACACGACCCGATATAACACCAATTTGGATATAACACGGTAAAGCAGTGCTCCGGTGGATTAAAGCAAGTTCAATTTAACGCGGTTTCACCTATAACACGGTAAGATTTTTTGGCTCCCGAGGACAGCGTTATATTGAGGTAGAGGTGTACCTGAAAGGGGGTTCCAAAGAGGATAGAGCTAGGCAGTTCTCAGTGGTGGCAGATGACAGAACAAGGAGTAATGGTCTCAAGTTGCAGTGGGGGAGGTTTAGGTTGGATATTAGGAAAAACTTTTTCACTAGGAGGGTGGTGAAGCACTGAAATGGGTTACCTAGGTGGAATCTCCTTCCTTGGAGGCTTTTAAGGTCAGGCTTGACAAAGCCCCTGGCTGGGATGATTTAGTTGGGGATTGGTCCTGCTTTGAGCAGGGGGCTGGACTAGATGACCTCCCTTCTAACCCTGATATTCTATGATTCTAATTCTTGTCTGGGTCTATCTGCGCTGCAGTCAGAGGTGTGACTGCAGCCCGTGTTGCCATACCCTAGCCAGTGTGAATAACAATAGCAGTGACGTTGTCTCAGCACGGGACTCTGGGTATGTCCTTACATGGCTAACCCATGCTGCTGTCTGTGCTACTGCAGCTTCTGTGTTACTCACACTAGCTAGACCTGAGCTAGCTCAGGTATGTCTGCACATGCTACAGTCACGCCTCTGACTGCATTGTAGCCATAGACTCATAGACTCATAGACTTTAAGGTCAGAAGGGACCATTATGGTCATCTAGTCTGACCTCCCGCATGATGCAGGCCACAAAAGCTGACCCACCCAATTTCCCTTATCTCAGCTGTTGAAGTCTCCAGATCGTGATTTAAAGACTTCAAGTCGCAGAGAATCCTCCAGCTTGTGACCCCTGCCCTATGCTGCGGAGGAAGGCAAAAAACCTCCAGGGCCTCTGCCAATCTACCCTGGAGGAAAATTCCTTCCCGACCCCAAATATGGCGATCAGTAGAACCCCGAGCATACAGGCAAGATTCTCCAGCCGGACCCACATTTTACCAGCGATGGCACGTTATTGCCTAATTAACTAAAATCACGTTATCCCATCAAACCATTCCCTCCATAAACTTATCTAGCCTAATCTTGAAGCCAGAGAGGTCTTTCGCCCCCACTGTTTCCCTCGGAAGGCTGTTCCAGAATTTCACCCCTCTGACGGTTAGAAACCTTCGTCTAATTTCAAGCCTAAACTTCCATAACTAGAGTGACCAGATGTCCCGATATTTGGAGCTTTGTCTGATATAAGCTCCTATTACCCCCTCTCCCCCCCTCCATACCAATTTTTCACACTTGCTATCTGGTCACCCTATCCATAACCCATGTGGCAAATAAGGCCAGAGCCTCCCCTAGTGTAAAGTGGCACCACTCCACTGAAGTCAGTGTCAACTTACACTAGCTCAGGGTCTGGCCCATGAAGTTTATAAAGCCCCTAGTATAACACTGGCACGTTGTTCATTGTAGCAAAGATCAGCCAGGCAAGATATCTAGGTATGAGTTCTGGCCCTAGTCTTTCCCTGGCTGTTGCAACAGCAGATGTGATTGTGGCAGAGGCAGTGGGCTAAGGCCTGCTCTTCCAAGGTATTTTGCCTAGCTGCCTACCTCTCATTGAAATCAATGAGTTCTGGGGGAAGGGAGAGAGGACATCAGGCCCTCAGCAGCAGCCCCTCTGGAAGATTACCGAGCAGTGTTGGCAGGTGCCAGAGGACCAGGCTCCAGCAGACCAGCTACTGTGGTCCACCTCCTGCCAGGTGTGATGGGTATTATGGAGAAGCCTCGGCTCCACCAATGACACAGCATACTTACTGTGGCTAGGAGGGATTCCTATCCCCTAGGAGGGATTCCCCCTAGTAAGCTAGGGGCATGGTTGGATGAGCGACTCACACTTGGTCCATAGAGTCTGGAGGGCTGTATGGCTGAAGGGAAGAGAACATGCCTGAGGTTTCATTTCTATTAGATGGGAATACTGAGGCACAGAGAAGCTGTGTGACTTGTCCAGGATCACACAGTGAGCCACCAGCATTGTGTGGATTAGATCCAAGATCTCCTGAGTCCCAGTGCTGTGCTCTGGTCACCCAGCATGCTGCTGCCCTTCACAGTGCTTGACAGCAAGAACATGAGTCTCCAGGCAGTATTAGTTTAGTTTACACCAGCTGAGGAGCTAGACCAGAGACATCTCCATACACCATTGTACAATACAACTGCATGGGCTACATTGGTGCCATCTAACTTGCTGCCCATTGTCACTTCCAAGTCCCTTCTCATGTTGCATGTGTGTTATTTCCCCGGGCGTGGGGGAGTTTACAGTTTATTAGGCTTCAAGCAGAGTACAAAAATCCACAGCATAAGCATCTGAAGAATTAGGTGCCATCTCAGCACTGCCAGGCACTTCTTGTGTGCCCTTGGGCCAGTCAGTGAACTTTTCTGTTGCCCCATCTCCCCCATCTCTACCACACAAGGGTGATGTGGGAAGGTGCCGGGGCAGTGCAGGAGCAGCTAGAGATCTTCCATTTGCTGTACTTGCCATGTCTCTCCACCTGCTCATTAGCAAGGGAACTGTACACCAGTGGGAGATGCAGGCAGGACTTCCAGATAGCCATCCCAAGGAGGCCAATCACACTAGTTCTGCTAGTAGTGCAGAATCCCTCCATCCACCCAAAGGAGGGGACCGACAGAAGCCCAAGTGGAGAAGGCACTGTTAGCCGCTGGCCAATGTCAAGGGTCTTAGAGGGAAGGTTGCTCCCTAAAGGGGTTGACAACACTGCATGGCTAGAGAACTGCCAGACAAGGAATGACATGTCCAGTCACTTAAAAGGCACATCTCACCTAATCAATTCCCTGCAACTGTGAGGGCCTACAGCACTGGTGGCAGCTGGGGCTCGCCTGTTCTCTGCCTGTGGCACACAGCAGGTTAGTCTCCTGAGGTCTGAACCATTTTAGTCTAACTAAAGTCATTGGGCTCAATACAGGGGTGTCTAGGGGAGGTTTAATGGCCCGAGATATACAGGAGATCAGAATAAATGAGTCCCTTTGGGCTTTGAAATTTATGAAATAACTGCCTAAAAACTCCCATCCTCGTGGGAAAACCATGGGCCTGACAAATAAGTTTTGTGTAGTTTTATGTCATGCACTTGGCAATCAATTCAACCAGAGCCTAATGTACTTTCCATTGGTGGCAGAGGCACCTATAGCCTAGCTGAGGTGCTTTTTAATATGTATTGTAAATAATAGTGGTCTACCATCTATTCCAAGTGAACAAAAGTCATCTTCAAAATATCACCAGCTACAGATCAACATAATCATACAAATGTCGGGCTGGAAGGGACATCAATAGGTCATCAAGTCCAGCCCCCAATGCTGTGGCAGGACCACATATACCTAGACCATCCTGACAGTTGTTTGTCCAACCTGTTCTTAAAAACCTGCAACAATGGGGATTTCACACCCTCCCTTAGAAGCCTGTTCCAGAGCTTAACTACCCATACAGTTGGAAAGCTTTTCCTAATACCTAACCTAAATCCCCCTTGCTGCAAATTAAGTCCATTACTACTTGTCCTACCTTCAGTGGAGATGGAGAACAACTGATCCCTGTCCTCTTTATAACAGCCCTTAACGAATTTGAAAACTGTTATCAAGTCTGTCTCAGTCTTCTTTTCTCATGACTAAACATGCCATGCTTATATAATCTCAGACTGATATTAGCATTTTTCCCAACTGGTCAACTCATATTCAATTTTTGATCCAGTATAACCCTTTTTGCAGTACTACCACCTAGCCAGTTATTACCCATTTTGTAGTTGTGCATTTCATTTTTTTTTTCTTCCTAAGTGTGGTACTGTGCACTTGTCATTAATGAATTTCATCTTGTTGATTTCAGACCAATTTGCCAATTTGTCAAGGTCATGTTCAATTCTAATCCTGTCCTCCAAAGTGCCATTTTAGTGTCCCCCATACATTTTATAAGCACACTCTCAACTCCATTATCCAAGTCATCCATTAAAATATTGACTAGTACCAGACTCAGGACAGAGCCCTGCAGCACCCCACTAGATATGCCCTCCCAGGGTGATGGTGAACCGTTGATAACTACTCTTTGATTGTGATCTTTTAACCAGTTGTTCACCCATTTTATGGTAATCTAGACAGCATTTCCGTAGTTTGCTCATGCCATGTGGCACTGTGTCAAAAGCCTTACTACAAATCAAGACATATCATGTCTACAGCTTCCCCTCTATCCACTAAACCTGTCAAAGAAGGAAATTAGGTTGGTTTGGCATGATTTGTTCTTGACAAATCCATCCTGGCTATTTCTTATAACCCTCTAGGGTTACAAATTGGTGAGTGAGAAGCAGAAGAGCTCTAGAAAAAAGATGTAACAAAGGCTGATTGCCCAAGTGTATAATTAGGCTGGGCAGAACTCAGTTTATAATTTTGAGGGATAATATCAATGTTTATTTTTAACCATTTGTTTAGAGTTTTATCAATTTAAATGTCCACATTTGCAGAAAATTGTGGCAGGGGTGTCTGCTAATGCCAGCAGACATTGCGATTCCAAAAGTTAAAGCTTTATAACTGTTAAAAAGACAAATTGTCAACATCCCATGGCAAACAATACAATGTGAATATCCTTAAATCAAAACTAAAATAATTTCTCAAGCAGCATTTTTCTTACTTTGCCTATCTGTAAATTTCAGTGATCATCAATGGAAATACTTTTTTGTTGGTTTGTGCGTGTATGGCAAAAATCAACATTTATTGACATTTACCATTAAAATCCTAATCCTTCCAAGCTTACATACCCAACAGGCCCGCACTGAGATTTGCTGCAAGTTAATTTTGGGTAAGAACAGGCCTGAATGATCATGGAAGCTGAATTTTTAATGTGCACTCCTGGAGCAGCACTATAAAACACCACTGCAGTGACTCCAGTGTATTGTGTTCCCAGTGTTTTAAACAAGAGCTCTGTGCACTGCTGCTGCTAATTTCGAATAGCTTGAAGATCCCAAGTCATCGGTATGGCTAGCCTCACAGCTGGCCCCCTTTTTGCCTGCCTTTACATCCACAGTGAGTTGGGGCACTTTCCAGATTGATGGTGCAGCACTTTGGACTCTCCCAGCCTCTCTGAGCAGGACCTGCTGGCAGAGCCCCCAAGGTCCACACATTTTTTAAGCAGCTAAAGTGTTTCTGTGCTGACTGATTTGCAAAGCTGCCCTAGCTGGGCTCCCCCAGCTAAGCAGCTCACCCAACTTAAGGCATTTACGAATCTCCCTAGCCCAGTGCAGTGGGCATTGTTGGAATGATGCCACAGAAGGCCCCCGGGGGTCGGGTGGGATATAAAAGAATACCCCTGTCAAACAGTAACAGCTGGCATCACTAGCCATAAGTTTTCCACCCATTCACAAACTATTGGACACAGCTTCCGTCTTTCCCCTGATCTGAGAGCAGAGGAATGAGGGTGGGAAATTCATTCTCCTGAGCAGCACTCTCATCTGGGAGAGAGTTTAACCCTGCCAATAGCACCTTTAATAACTGCTTGAGCAGATAAGTGGAAGGGATTTCTGGGCAGGTAAGGACTGAGCCTCCTGGTCCATCAGCTACTCCAAAGGATAGAATATGTGAGGGCTGGAGTTTAGGGCTCCTCTTAGAGCAATTCAGTTTTATCCTTCGGAGCTTGTCTGCACTCATATGGGAATGTGGGTTAGCAAATTATTGAGACAAATTTGGTGGTAGTGGACTAGAGTCTAAATTGGGATAATTTACACCTTCTCCTGGCCCCTCAGGTTAAATTATATTATCTTAACCTCCCACAAACCTACTTACACAGTCACCTTTGCACATCACCTCTGCATTTGGATTTGTTTTGAAAGTAGCACAGATATGGTCAACCAGGAACTCACAATTACCTTCTTGTAACATAAGAATAAAGGGACAGTCAGTGCGAGTGAAAGGCTACCAATTTAAAAAGAGATCAAAGGATTTTTTTTTGTATGCTGCACAATTGATCTATGGAACTCATTGCCACAAGGTATTAGTGAGGCCAAAAGCTTAGCTGAATTGAACAAAGGATTAGATGGTTGTACAGTTAATCAGAACGACATCAACTGTGACATTAGATAACATGCAAAATTTTAGAAGGGCTCTGAAACCTAATGTTTCAGGATATAAGCTGTCACTAACTGCTTGGGGAAAGGAAGAAACTGTCTCTCCATAATTGTCCATTATGAGGATTCTTGCCCCTGCCTCTGGAGTATCTGTACTTGGAGACAGGTTCCTGATCAGGTGGACCACAGGTCAATCCCACTGCAGTTTTTATGTGACACAGTTGATCAGCTGTAACCTATAAGCTGCAAGACAAACTCAGTGATTGTATGTTTCCAACAGAGCTGAGAAAATGTTTGCTCTTCAAAATATTTATGACAAAACTGGAAAAGATTTGGGGCACTTGCTAACATTTTATGAGCCAGTAGGCTTGCTTTCACAGCGTTTGGTTTGGTCCCCTCAGTGTGCTAGATTCTTTCTCATGGCAAAAGTCAGTTGCTCATTGACAATAAACAAGCGTAGTCACCCAAAGGTGAAAAAGTACAAAACCATCCCTACCCCTCACCCCAACTACCCACTCTGTGTGTGTGTGTGTGTGTAAAAAAAAAAAAAAAAAGTCATCACACAACTCAGATTCCCTGAGTAGATTTTACTTGCAATCACATTCACTCAGCTCAGAAATTACACTCTCTGCGCATCATCCACTTTGGTTGCTCTGAGTTTAGATCTGTGCTCAATTCCCTACAACTAGGTGCTGGTAGAATAAGTGCTTACCGGGTCGTTAGAGGCTGGCAGAGGCATGCTGCTTCTTCCCTGGCCTGTGGGATACTCATTCCACTGGGATTTCTTCTCTCGGCTTCTTCTGCTTCCAAGTTTCTCCGACCCCACTGAGCCAACACATGAGGCCACTGCCAGGCATCCCACACACAGTAATAGGAGCCAGTGGCTGGCAGGGAGGGATCCAGCCATCCTTCAACACGGCACCAAAGAGGTGGTCCTTTCTCTCCAGGAGCCAGAGTTTCTATGGCCACCCAGAGGCAGGCATTGTCCGTAAGAGCAAGAAGAAATCTGACTGTGTCCTGTCAGGAATGGCGTGTTTGGGGGAAGAGATGATACTCCAGCAATGTCAGGCCTGTCCTCCCATCAGCACCAGCTCAGGAGATGGGTTGCCCTTGCAGAACAGCCGGCTGGTACTCGACAGCTGAGCCACCTGGCCCAAGGAGAGGGCAATGTGTCCTACTTTGTGGGGGGAAAGCACATTGTGTAGGCTCAAGGATCCCTTAGAGAAATGTCCCTGTACTTCAGAGTACTCCCTGCTCCAATCCGCTCGTGAGAGCTCGGACCAAGAGTCTGGGCATGGGCTTAAAAACCCACCGGCTGGGGCTGAGTCCAGCTGGGAGAGGGCTATCTCCCTTGCTTGCCTCCTTTCTTGGGCTGCCTTTGGAGCTGTAAATACAGTCTCTTCCCAGCAGCTCTCATGTGCTCCTTCCCTTCACAGCTGGAGGGGCCAGGAGAATGCCCAGTTTCTCTGCTGGTGGCTCTCACTCCAGCCTGGCCCTGGCTGGGATCTGTGGCTCATGAGAGACACCCATGACTGGTGCACTGCCCTCTCTCTCCCTGGGTTTCTGTGGGCACTGCTCCTGGCGCAGCAGACCTTGGCTGTCTCGGTCTGATATTCTTGCTTACATCCACTCCTTTTAATGAGCTTGAATTCCCCGCCTCATAGGCACTGCCTCACGCACGCACTCCAGGGAGCCAGAGAGCCCCCTCCTGGCTTCAAGTGTTAGGTGCAACCATTTCCAGCCTCTGGCTCCATGAGCTAGAGACTGGCAGCTGGGATCCCAGGGACAGGTGCACAGAAGCTCGTCACACTATGTACAAGGCAATTTTCATGGAGAGGGCCACAGGCGAGAGGACTGAAGCAAATCCCCAGCCAGCAGCCTGTAGAATCCTTTCAGCCCACGGTGATCTGAGTGACCCTCACTGCGTGTCTGGCTGTGGCTGCAGTGGCTGGAGCTACCAGCTCATCCTGAGAGGCAATGGCCCCTATTTGCCCAGCGAAGAACTAACCCCATCCAGGGCTCTGCATGCTTTATGCAAGTGATTCTTCAGCAAAGCTTCAGCGGGACCATAGGGTATTCCTGCTTGGGACAGCTGACTGCACCACTTACTAACTGGAGGAGCTGCATCATTTCCCCCTTGAGCTCCCCAGACCCTTCCATGGGCCATCCTGAGCATCCAGCTGCCAGTGCCTCGCTGGCTACGGATAGGATGGGCATGACTGAGGTGGGCATGGACTGCTCCACTCATTAGCAAAGGGAGATCTGGCCTCCAGTTACCATGAGCACCTAGGGATATGCCTCATTGGTGGGTGCTGAACTCATAGGAGGGGTTCTAACTTGCTCAGTTTCCTGCATCAGCTGGGACACACTAGGGCTTTAACCTTTAAGGGAGTCCCCTCTCCTGACCGGGCAGCCACAGTGGCCAGGGCTTGGAGCTGCTATGACAACATTGCTCTGACCATCCTAGAATCAGGTCAGTCCTGCCTAGGGCATGGAAGTGTCTAATGCCAACCCCAAAGCCAGTAATCACCCCTACCCACATGGGCTTTGGGTTAAAACTGGCTCGGGTCCCCCAGGAGCACACAGGGAAGAGCAGGATTTTATCAAATATATACCAAAATACTGGGCCCAATTGCCAGGGCTGGCCAGTGGCTGTGGAGCAGGGAGCTCATCCCATGCATGAGCGCATTTGGGTCTCAGTCTTGCCAGGTGCTGAGCACTCTGTCCCCAATCCAGCAAAGCACATAAACACGTGCTTAGCTTGAAGCAAGAGAGTGGAGCCTCTAAAGAGACAGAGAGTGGGATCCCAGCCCCACTGAAGTCAATGGAACCAGGATTTCTCCTGAGTCATCTTGGGGAACCTCAAAGCTTTTTGTTGTTCCAATCATGGAGCAGAAACCATATCATGTGACCAGAGGCAGATTACCGCTTTGTGAGGCCCTGGGCCAGAGCAAATGGGGGCCCCTCCCCACCCCTTCCGCCTGCAGTCTCCCCCGCCCTCCTCCCCAGTGCTCCTGCCAGGGAAATGAGGTCGGGGCACAGGGGCTTCCCCCACTTCCTGGCAGGAGTGCTGGGCGGGCGGAACTGGTCGGGATGCGGCGGGGTGCCCATTTTTCCAGGGCCCCCAATTGGCTGGGGCCCCTGGGCATGGGCCCCGTTGGCCCAGTGGCTAATCCACCACTGCATATGACCGATGTGACTGTGCATGAGTCCCCCCCTTATCCCTGAGCACCCCCTTGTGACTGGAGGCCTAACACCAGGATTAAATCCCACATCCCCTCTTGGGCCCCTAAGGCCAGCACAACAGGCTCTCTTCCCTTAATAATACCTCCTTGAGGCAGGATTGTTACAAAAATAAATAATCAACAACCAAAGGCCCCAATCAGTCCAGGCTCACCCCCAGTGCATGTAGGCCTTAAAATCTTACAAGATCTAGGTCACTAATGTAGCACATACCACACTCCGGCATCTGCCACCACACCGAGGCACATTTCTGACCTTCTCCTGTCCTGCTGCCAGCCCACTCTTCCCATAGGAACCTGCCCTCCCCAGCCTCTCAACTGGGAGTGCCTCTTCACCAGGGGAGCTGCCATCAATCCCCCTGTTCCAGTATCCTTTCCTAGCTCTCCAGCATGGAGACATTACCAGATAAATCCCTCCATTGCTCCTCCTGTCTTTAGCCCTCCTACCCTGGCTCAGGGAGCTCAGCTGGCAATCCCCTCTGCTGCTCTTCAGCCTTGCCCCCAGAAACCAACAGCTTCCTTCAGGGACCTTCTCCCTCTGTTTGTCCCTGATCCTTTATAGAAATTAAGAAGGTGCCACCCCACCCTCTTAATTCACCAAACTGGGGCACCTGTCCTGGCACAGAGGCGCTGGACCTGCTTCATTTAATGGGGCCAGCCACCCTGTGACAGTAACTCACCATACTCTACAAACAGTGCCTTGTCAAATAGTGCATGAACAACCTGGAGCCCAAACGTATTGGAATAAATAACAACCAATGATAAATAGACAACAATGCATAGAAATCACAACCCACCAATGTCTTTGTTCAGCTGTGCTCCATATCAGCTCAAAGCGTGCCCTGTCCTCACTGCCCTTGCCGCTATAAGCCTTGGCCAACCCTTGGCCATCTCCTGCCGTGATTACTGTAACCTCTTTTCCAGCCACCCTCTTCTCTCTCCACGCTGTCAAAAATACTGCAGCTACACTCATCTTTTCCCCAGTTACCCTGACTCCCTTCCCTGCCCCCTTGGCTCGTATCACACTAAGTTCAAGTTCTTTGTCCTCCCCACACCCTTGCTTATGTCCTATGCTCTTCTCGGTCCTCTTGGCTTGCTGCGCCCTATGGGACTGAGCCAAATCCCATGGATGTTGATGGGAATCTTCCTTGACATCAGTGGGCTGTTTCTCTCACTCTCAGAAGTTATTGTCCTCAGCCTCTGCATTCTTGGGCGACTTGGGCTGCACACACAGACTACGGCCATCCAGAGCGCACATCTCTCTCCCTGCACTCAGCGCCTGTGGAATCCTGTGGTATCAGTGGGTGGCTCTCACTCACACTTAGCAGCTGTATTGAGCACTGCGCATGGCTCCCACTATTTTAGGATAGGTTCAGTGTGTGAATATAGCTTGCAAGTGTGACTCTCCATGACATGGTCCTGGAACACTAAGAGCAGGGTGTTCCCAAGAGACTAGCTAGGTTTCCTACATGCCGAATGTTAGTGAGAGCTCCTTACAGTGGTAGCTCAATAAACAGTGAGGGCTTGGCAAGCAGAGTAATTCCATGTGCTATAGGGTACAAGCGGAGCCAACTCTAGACCTACAAACCCCTCTTCATTAGGGTCAGGTACTTGGTCACCCTGGAGCAACAAGGTGGAATGAGCCAGCTGACATGGTCTGGTAATAGCACCCGTGACATCATTAAAACCTTCCAACAGGATGACACTCTTGCTGGAGTCCTGTTCAGCAGGCTAATGGAGGTGACTTGGGCTTGTTGCCATGTGGACCAAGTTATTTTCCTAAACAGTGAGCAATATTAATGATGTCATAGGGGCTGCCAGAGGGCCAGATCTAATTGGTTTAGTCTTCCAGCAAATCCACATGTAATGATATCTCTGTGCTGTGCCATAGCCTGGTATGGCAGGGCTGCAGAGCACTTGCCTGCTCTGATTGCAGCACGGTGCTGAGACGGTGATATTATTACCCATGCTTGGTGTATGAGAATAGTCCAGTCTGACCACTGGAGTGGCATTCTGCAGTGTCATAGCGGTCAAAGGTCATTCTGAAAGCAGACCCTGCATAGATAGAGACCTGCACTCAATTTTTAATTCTCCCTTCCTCATAAATCAACCAGTTAGTTTAAACATTAAGGGCTGTGTTGTTGGGCACCTTTGAGGAAGCTCAGCTGGGACGGATGTGTGGAAACGTAAAGGGCACTGAGGGAGGGGAGTGAAGAAAACTGGACTTTTCCCCTTCCTCTCCTTCACGCTCCAGTGAAATCTAATCCTCATTCTTGAGCTCTTGTGTCACTGTCTTGGCCCACAGCTCCCAGCAGACTGATGTAGCCAAGCTGTTCACTCTCGCTCCCCGTCAGAGGGAAGGACCTTGCAGATGAAGTCATGGGAATGAAACCTCCAGCCATCCCTGAAAGCAAAGCAGTACGAATGGGAAGTCAATGTGTGGCCTCTTGCCTGTCTATGGGACTTCCCCTTGAGGCCCAGCAGTCAGTAACCAAGTGAAACTAACCCAGCCAACCACTGGCAGTGACTTCCCACCATACACAAGCCTGGTCAGCCCAGGGAGGGACAGCTGAGCATAGGGAGATGGTTTCCTGTATGCTATGGTAGGCTGCTTGCCAGGTATCAGTGGGACAGGGTGGAGAGGAACACAATACCTTTGCCTCGGATACCTCCTCTGGGTCCAAAGGGTTTGCAGTGCATGTAAAATGAGCTGTGAGCATGTCCCACACATGCCTGGACACTAGGCTTTGTTGTTTGCAGGCCGTAAAGCAGACAACCTTCTGCGGGAGGGGAGGGGAGGGAGTGTGGGGAGCAGATAAAGCACACGACCAATGTGGTTGCAAGCTGACTCTTTATTACAAGCTTTCTCTTATAGTCTTTCTTGCTGAACTGAACTCTGTTTATTACAAGCTTTCTTTTATAGTCTTTCTTAACATTGCATAACACAATTAGGCTATAATTATACATCGGCCCATTGGACAAGAAGGAGAGTCATGTGTTTATCACATGTATAGCCCCACACCGATTGGTTCAGATGTTCCTTACATAAGGCCTCATCTTATATAACCACCAGGGGGCCTTACATAAGGCCTCATCTTATATAACCACCAGGGAGCCTTACATAAGGCCTCATCTTATATAACCATCAGGGGGCCTTACATAAGGCCTCATCTTATATAACCACCAGGGGGCCTTACATAAGGCCATGATTTATTGCCAGGCAAGTGTCCCATCGTGACCCTTACCCTCTCATGGAACTTTACATCCCCACAAGGGAGTGGAATGCAGGCCATTCAAAGGAGTCTTGAAACATCTCTATTAAATGCATCAAAAAAGGGTACAATCACTGGTGGCTGCAGGGCTGTGATA